TTTTTTTACCTGCCCTAATTCAAATAAACATTTGTCAGGTTCAGCATAAAAATCACATGATGACATGAATGCAATCAAAAATCATTTATTTTACAGAAACATTTGAGAGCATTACACAACTGATTAAAAACAATCAATCATCACAAATGTAATCTAATGATACACTGTATCTTTAAAAAATGAAATAAAGTTATTTTTTGCATGTCCTCCAAAAGAGAGCATGACAAAACATTCAGTGCATTTCTCCTCAAGAGAAAAATACAGTTATATGCACACAACACGTCCTCCGATGCGCATCACGATCAATGCACGGCTTCAGGTGATATTCTTTATTCAAAGTACTTTAAGTCCAAACAAGTGCTATTTTCATCTGAGGTAGATGTGCTAACACAGAAGATCAGATCACATCAAGTGCTTGGCTTGTTGACCCTTTCCATTGCAGGTCAGTCTGTGATGGACGTTCACTTCAGAACAACGGCGTCACGTCTTGATCTGGAGTGGGAGAGAGACGCAGAATCTCTCGAGAACACCTGGAGTAGCCGCTCGGGAAGATTAAAGCCTTTTTCGAGCTGAAGAAGGACACGGTCTTCTCCAAAATGTCGGATGCAGGGATACCGTGATGGAGGTGGTCTTCGAAAGAGGATTTCAGCTTCTCCACTTTGCTGAAACATTTTCTCTCCAAGCTGTACAGTTTGCACCTGGAATTCAAGAGAACATTTTTAGTGTCATTGTTTGTGAGAATAGATTAAAATGACTCGATTGCAAGTATTTCTGTTCCTTTCTTACCTGGCATGGTGAGCGTTGTCTTGAGGGGTGATGTCCATGTAGGCAGGCATGTTTGAGTTTCGGTTGTGCAAGAGATTAAGTATCTGAAGCCACACAAGACCCTCGATCTGGTCCACTTTTATACCAAAGCATATCTGCATCCAGCCAATCAGAGAGCAGGGAAACGTGGAACAATAGGCTTGCCATAATTTGCATTGGTCTTTTAATTGAGCTCTTTAGTGGACAGGTGGGTTTTTTTTCTCTAGTGCCATCTGGAGGGTCAGCCGGGGGAGAGTCATGAGGACTCCCGATTCTGATGTTCTCACACTCAGATTAGCAATGGAGATTTGTGGAAAATATTTGCGGTATGTGTTCAGTCACAGACTAAATGTATAGTTGGGGGTAAAAAAAATGTTGTTTCATTTTTAATCCATGTTGAAGTAAAAAAATATGTTGTTGGTTTAACTTAAAAAAATTAAGTAACCTGCACTGAAAAAAATAATATGCTTTATCTAATCAATCAAATTGTGGCAACATATTACAAGCAATATTATTAATTAAATTGTACAAATTAAAATTAATTAGAATTTTAATTTGATTAACTATTACTCAATTCTAATTTGTTCAATTTAATAAATAATTTTGCTTGTAATCTGTTGCCACAATTTAATTGATTAGATATTCATTTTTACAGTGTGTTTGCCTTAAAACTTCAAGTTAATTGAAATGGAAAAAGTGAGTTAATACAATGAAGGAGATTGATTTAATCATTTAATCATCAGAAACTCAAAATAATAAGTTATCTGAACTAAATAAATTAAGTTGATTTGACAAAAGAAAAAATGTGATAACAAATCTTTAATTTTTTTTTACAGTGGAAACAGTTTAAAAGATAATTAAAAAAAGAAAAAGAATATAGCTTCTAGGCATTTCATGCATGGATAAAATATACATCACGAAAACACATTCATAACCAATATGCTGTATCAGAAACATGCAATGGATTTATTACATCAAATATTATTATTTTATAAATCAATATTCACTTGCACTTACTGTAAGAAAAAAAAAACATTTATTGAACATTTTAAAATAGTGCATTTGAACGTTGCTTCTCCAGACACTTTACCCCCCAAAAAATATTAAAATGCGTTACTGAAATACTCACAAAACATTTAGTGAGTAAATACTGTATAGAATCAAAACCAAAATGTAATAGCGTCCATTAAGCTCCCCCCCCCCGCAGAAGCCTAGTTAGTCGAGCCCTGTGGGAACAGACACACTTCTATTGTGTGAGGGGTTTAATGTGATGAATACAGAAGTGTGGGAAGCCGTGTGTCTCTGCGGCTCCCACCAGCTCCAGGAGCGCCGGGGCGTGTGATCGGGGTCCACATTATGCCACGAGCCAGCTGTGTGTGTGTGTGTGTGTGTGTGTGAAACACTAGCCTGAGAACAGGTAAACACAGAACACCTGCTTCACTAAAATATCTTGTTACATTGACCTACACTGCAAACCATTACAGCACCCTTACGAAAAAGAAGTATATTTCAAGTTAATTTTATGTAGTATACGAAAAAGAAGTATATTTCAAGTTCATTTTATGTAGTATACGAAAAAGAAGTATATTTAAAGTTCATTTTATGTAGTATATGAAAAAGAAGTATATTTCAAGTTCATTTTATGTAGTATACGAAAAAGAAGTATATTTCAAGTTCATTTTATGTAGTATATGAAAAATACGTATATTTCAAGTTCATTTTATGTAGTATACGAAAAAGAAGTATATTTCAAGTTCATTTTATGTAGTATATGAAAAATACGTATATTTCAAGTTCATTTTATGTAGTATACGAAAAAGAAGTATATTTCAAATTAATTTTATGTAGTATACGAAAAAGACGTATATTTCAAGTTCATTTTATGTAGTATACGAAAAAGACGTATATTTCAAGTTCATTTTATGTAGTATATGAAAAAAGTATATTTCAAGTTCATTTTATGTAGTATACTTAAGTAATGTTCAAGTATATTTTTAAGTATACATTATGTAGTAAGTATACTAATGTCACTATGTACTAGAAGAAAACTTGTAAGTGTACTATTTTAATACCGCTTGGGACTAAATTGGCCCACTTTTAGTACACAAAAGTAGTGTACTATAAGTGTAACAGTAAGTGCACAACTAGTTCATAATTATGTATCCCATGTGTACTGCAAGTGAATTTATGGGTATACTAGTAGTTTACTTTTTTACTGTAATACTTATACAAGTATACTTTGAATACTTAATTATACTTTTAAGTATTTCTGGATCAAAAGATTGAGTACAAGAACAGGACAAATATACTTGCTTTTCTCTCAGTATAAGTCTAGTACACTTAAGTGTAATTTGAAGTACAGGAAAAATAAACTGAAAGTATACTTTCTTATTTTTAGTTTAAAAGAAGTATACTAATGGCACACTTGAATAAACTTCTTTTTCGTAAGGGCAGTTCAACTGATTCTGAACGGCAGCAGCTTGTGTGCATTTTATGCACTAATTTGATTATGAGCAATCTAACTAAAGTATATTATAAATATATATATTTTAAAATTGCATTGCATGTTTATGGTTGACAACACTGAAGAGTTTTTGTTTTCTAACATTTCTAGGGAAAATGAAATCGATTATGAAGGGTGTGTGTTGATAAAGTGACATTAATGTGAACACCGGGTCAGGACTTTCCCTTCGAGCCCCTGAGCATGTGGCGGCCCACATCCCTCATTGTCTGCTTGAGCTCTTCCATTGGCTCCAAACTGTGAGAAAGTCCAACAAGCTCAAGCCTCACACATTCATATGGAGATTTGTGAGTATAAATAGAGGATCTGCAGCCGCTGTGAATCAGACTCGCTCTGCACAGAGATCCAGACATGACACCTACAATCATCTCAAAGGAGCATCTCCCTCTCAACAACAAGGTACATCACATGATCCTCCTTCCAGCAACATTACATCGCACTCTTCTCCATCACTGCTTATTCCAAGACACTTTCCTGACGCTTTTCTGTCTCCATCTGCAGCTGAGAAAGACAATCGTGGAGAAGATGTGCAGAGATGCTCTCATCTCATCATGGCTCCAGAGTTCCTGATTCCCAGCCGGAGAAAGCACAAATCCTGGAGACGATTCCAGTTCACATGCTGTCAATCAAGGCTTCTCCTGGTGTGTCCGTGAGATCCAGAGATGAGATGAAGACCGAAGCTCTTCCAGAAGTCAAAAAGTGTCGTGCCTCGACCAGAACACCTTCAGCGAAGAGATGAAGCTCAACAAGAGCGCCACCTGGAGGCCGTGCCAGATCTCACAGCGACCAGCAGCTCACACTGAACCTTCTCTTTTTGAGAAAGTGTTTATGCAATTTCTTTTTGGAAAAAAATTGTATTATAAAGTATGTTGATACAGTGAAGGCTTTGCTTCACTTTGCTTTACATTATATGTGCAAGCTATTTATTCAGCTGTTTGAATGCTTCCAACTTGAATGATTTTAACATGAATCAGTTTAAAAATATTTCTGTTTATAGAAAGAATGACATTTTCCATCTGTTTTGATGGATTCTATTACTTATTTTAATCTCAATATGTGCTTCACATTGAAGCTAGATTTCATTATTTTAAAACCTCACAATGAGTATTATATCTCATTTTTTGTGAGCATGTTTGGACAAATCTTGTCAATTTATGTTGTAAGCAGTTCTTTTTTTGGAACAAGTTTGTTTAATGAACCCATTCCTTTCATAAAGGCTTGTTATGTGATGAAAATGTTATGAAGTTGTATTGTATCAATATAGCCTACTTGTGTATTTGACACTGCAGAGGGCTAAAATATCTTCTTGAGATAGCCTAATAAATTAAAATGCTCTTCAATCACTTTTTGCTTTTCACTGGGTTTGAAACTTATGAGCACAACATTTTAATGCAAGGAATGTTTAATAAGTGATATCGTTTACAACAAAATACGTTGATTAAATAACAAAAACTTCCAGTCCAGCAAATCTACTTTATTTGTCTCAGTTCTGATGCTCAAACACATTGCAATCACCAGTTAGCATGTCCAACATGATCCTGACACGGTCAAAAATCATTAACTAGCCTACCATCTTCATTACACCTGACGTTGCTGTCTGGTGACTTATTTAGCTAATTAAACCCATACTCCACCTATTGTTTCCAAGTGGTACTACAACAGACATTTAAATAGAGCATAATGGCTCTTACACAGTCGACATCTGATAAAAACTCTAAATTAATTGCTTTTCCATGGTGTTTTTGGTGATCTGTGCAGCAAGCTACTCTGCGTGGAGGCCATTAATTGCATCTGATTGGTCGTTTGCAGCACGTGAATCTTTTGATCGCTTCTCTGTCATCGGCCTTAAGGTCTGCGTGGAGTGACACGTGACGAGCATAGTTGGAATTGGCGCGTTGTTTTCAAAAATCAACTGTCATCTCCACAATATCGGCTTTGTCGTGTCTAATGAACTGCCGCTCGGGCATCTGTGTATTTTCGTGAAACAACTTTCTCAGATGTATGATACCGCGGTTGATGCTGTCTCTCCCCATCTTTTCAAACTGCATAGACCAAAAAGGAAAAACGGTAAGTTTTTTTCCAGTAAAATTTCAAGTGAAAGAGAGAGGTGTTAGAGATTTGACGTGATTACTTTGTTGTCCTCATGATATAATATGTCGCACGACCTTGATTTTGACTGACTGGTGTCATTATACAAAGATTTAAAAAGCAATTAGTGTAAAATCATATTTTATTCATAGGCTTGTAGCCTACACATGAAGTGTAGCGTTTTTTTCCTGTATTTACCTGAGGTAACGCTTATTTCACGCGCTTCGCGTGCTTTCCCACACTGCCAGCCAATCAGAGAGGACCAGGAGCCGCGAGTTTAAATCCATTGGTAACGGTGGTTTTATAGCACGCGAGTATTCTTCCTCTCCCGCTGTGGGAAAACACGGCCACGGGCCACTAAAAGTGTGCCTGACTCATGCTCAGAAGTCCAGTAGTGTTTACAGAGCAACATCTCGGCGTGATTCAGATAGACACGCTTCAGACAGAGTCTTTGATCAGTGCTGAGGTGTCATTGCTCTAATGTAAACGGACTTTCCCAGCATCAGCCTCAGGTCCCAGTTTATTGCATTGATGTACATTACAGAGCGTCTCCAAAGAAATGCTGATTTTCATGTGGTTTTAACAAATAACCTGCACCTGCGTGATTCATTTCGTTTCCCTTTCATTTTATCGGAGGTGAAAATGTTTTGTGATAAAGGCCCTGCTTTGATATGAAGAGAATATGATAGAAATCAGTGAAATATTCTGATTAAATACCACACGTGTACAGATATTATTAACAGACACTATTGATATTATTATTATTAACGAATAATGTACAGTGACTTGGGGGATAATGTAATAATAATTCTTGAGATAATATCAGATTATTACTTAATTTTTAAGCAACATGTTAGTTTCAGTAAAAAATAACGTTTTACGATTAAATATAAAATATTAAAATTTTAAAGCAAAATTATATATTCCCAGCACTGAATTTTGTTAGTTAAAATACTGTTTGCATGAACTTTAGATTAAAAAAAATTAAAGATGCATGAAACTCAAACTCAATTTAATTTTTGAAAGAGTGATTGACCTATTGATCAATTGAAACCAGATAAGGTAAATTGTAAGTCCTATGGGATTTGTACAGCCAATGTTTGATTTGATTTGTTGAGGACGCCTCACCCACTGGCCTCGGAGTGTGGGAAAGCTAATCCTGACTGGGACTCATGGCTTTGTAATGCTAATGAGCTCCTATAAATAGAGGAGCACGGCCCTCATTCCCAACACAACCAACTTGCTCTCCTCAGAGGAACATCTCTCCATCTGAAAGAATGGCTCCAACTTACACGAATGACTACTCCAAACTTTCCAACAAGGAGAAACATAAAGTGAGTATTATTTACCACTTAAAAATCGATTGTTTTTCTTTTATTCTGATCAAATGAAGCAAAGAACTAAGCAAATGTCTCTTTCCTCAACAGTTAAGAAAACCCGCAGTGGAAAAGATGCGCAGAGATCGCATCAACAGCTGCATCGAGCAGCTCAAATCCATGCTGGAGAAGGAGTTCCAGCAGCAGGACCCCAACACCAAACTGGAGAAAGCCGATATCCTGGAGATGACGGTGGTCTTCCTGAAACGGCAGCTGCAGAACAAGACTTCGGCTCCACAGAAAGCCCACTTTGACGGCTATTCCCAGTGTTGGAGGGAAACCATGAGCTTCCTATCGGTCAACCCCAAGGCGGACGCTGTACGTCAACATCTGAACCACTGCCAAGAAGCCCAGAGATCAGCTAAAGACCTCATCCACTCGTCTCCAGCTTCCCATCAGCCCAGCAAGGTGAAGCAGGAACCATGTGCCCACAGACCGCTCTGGAGACCCTGGTAGAGACTCCAGGATCAAAGACTTTCACATCAAAACTAGATGGTGGTTTTACCATCTCTTATATTGTAGGAGATAAACATTTCCATATTTCTAGGTTCATTTCTTTTGAAAGAATGTCTTTTATGGTACTTCACGCTGTGAAGTTTGTGGAAGGAAATGGGTTTCACAATGTGAAAGTCTAACCTTCGACAGATGATTGTATTATGATCAGAGGTTGCCTCTAGTTTTCCTCATGGATGGACAGTAATATAAGTATTAATAATCTTCACGACGAAGAGTCGAGGTTTAACTCCTGTGGAGTCGATGACTAAGTAATTATTTGCAATGTTTGATCACTGTTTGTAAATGCAAATTGTATTGTTTCTTCTTATGAAGGATGTGATTTTCACTTGTTTCTAATATATGGTGGTGACATATGTTAATTGTGCAAACATACGGTCACATAAAATAAACACTATTTGAATATAAACAATCCTGCTTTCCTCTAATTGATTACTCAAAACAAATGCTTTATGCTGCATGTCTGATTAATAGACTTTTGAAATGTAAACAGTGTTTTTTTTAACAAACACTCGCGTTGGTTGTCAAGTGGTCTCCTTTTCAGCTAATGGGAGTCCATTTACACTTTTCCCTGAATGACGAACTCTTTTAGAGTTGTGGATCAATCTATCTGGGTATGTTTTCCAAAAACGACCCTTACAATAACAACCCCTTATTTTGACTATTAAATGAGTGTAAACCAGAATTTTTCTTATTAAGATAAATTTAATCCTATCCCTATACCCCTAAACTTAGCCTTATCAGAGGAAATAGATGAATAACACTGACGTAGAAGCACCTAATCCTATTTGTAAGCCTAAACTTGACATAAAAAAACCTGTTGCACTTGGTGAAATCACGTTCAACGTCAGTGACATAGCAGCCAATATATAACTTTAGAAATATCTATATTTGATGATCAGGATGAATGATGTCTTAATGATGTCAGCTTTAAAATATGTCCAATGCCCTTTAAGCATTTTTAAAACAAATAGATAATGTAATCTGTGCCATATGTCTTAGTTGAGTGTGTACCAGGAGCATGATTATAGAGTTCAATGTGTGAGAAAGAACGCAGGGGCTTAATGTTGGTGTTTGTACTCTGAAACCCTTGATAATAGGCACTGTGTGCTGTCAACTCTGGTTTCATCAGACAGCTGGTGTGTGTGTGGGGTGGGGGGGTGTCTCCCATCATGTGTGGGGCCGGCTTCTCGCAGGATTTCCCACACCCGCGACTCTGGCTCCCGTTTCAGATCCGACATTAAGGAAGTGTGCCTTACTAAATCATCCATTAGGAATGGTGGTGTGAATCCTGACCCTTCCCTTCTATTGCCCCTAATTCAAATCTGAGCCCCCTGGGAAACAGCCATTCACTTGTTGTTTGAATCTACTTGTTGCAAACTTGAAGTGATGTATGTATTAATTTAATCATCAGAAACTCAAAATAATAAGTTATCTCAACTAAATAAATTATTATAAAGTTGATTTGACAAAAGAAAATATGTTGTGTTAACAAATCTTGAAAATATTTTTTACAGTGTACTTGTATTTTCTACAAGGTGGTAATATGGCTTCGGAACAATTAACATACTAAAAGGAAGACAAACATGAAAAAGTATATATAACTAAAAAAGATAAATATATATAGGCTTACCATGACAGGTTATAGATATGCATTTAACTAAAGTATTTAATTTAAATAAAATATTTTCTGTGTAAATCTATTTTTTTTTACATGTTGTATAAAATACTATTGTTATGAACTGTTGATGTGATATACCTATACATCATTCGATAATTTGTACACTTACATGCAATTATACTTTATTAGTATGCATGCAACATGCAAATTTCTACTTAAGTTAAGTTAAATAAAGTGAAGTTCAGAACAGAATTATTTGCTGAGATTTGAGGATGCGGGTAGAAGTATTTAAAGTGCTGACACACTTTTCTCACCACATACAGTAAAGCTGAGACGCATTTTATGGGACTTTAGGGCAAATACAGTATACGTCAGGATGGCCATGTGCCTCCGTTGAGTTTACAGGAGTGGGAATCCTTTGGTTTCTGAGGGTGTCAGCCAGTGTAATCAGGATCGGTGTAACACACACACACACACACACACAGTGTCTTAGATCCCCTTTCAGAATCGCCCTCCTCCTCCTCTTGTCCTCTTCAGGTCCAAGCTGCTGATGTTATCAAGTGTTTCAGACAGCCTTGTGATTGGCCCATGAGTGTGGGAAAGCATCAGACGCTTCAGACCCATGAGGACAAAGGATTGTAAATGGAGCATGTCTGTGTTTTATCAGTCTGAACTCCAGCATATAGTGTTTATAGGTGATAAAATCATGTTAGGAGAAAAGAAACCTGCTGTGGGCTACCCTAGAATACTTTTTTAATGACACAAAATGTCACATTAAAGCAATAATTGAATAAAGTAATGCATCAATCTTGCATAATTAAAAAAGTTTGCCTGTTTTAAAGTCAACAAGTGTTTCTGAGGTTGGAGGTCAGCAACTCAAAATGTTGTTACCCAATATAAAACCAATTTGTACTCAATTATTTAATATTTAATCTTACCATACATCAATGTGGCTTTTTTAATATTTAGAATGTTCAGTTCTCATTTTAATTGTTTTTGTCATAATGTTTTAGTTTTAACCTAAATGAAAATGAGAAATGGGTTAGCTAAAATAAAATGTCAAGAAGTTGATATTTACATATAAAAACTTTATATTTTATTCCAGTAACAAATATGTTTTTATGGTTTTAGTTAACTAACCCTAAATAATGATAAGCAATGATTTGCATATTACATATATCTTAAACATGTTCTGGTATTTCCAAACTTACAGATATTGAAGTGAGACTAATTATTATTCTACATGATTATTTAGCTGTGTGCAATACTATAAATATATCTAATGCATGCAAATATTTCTATTACAATTTGCCCAGTGCTGAACAGAACTGTACACTGCTTTTAGCATAATTTGGTGAATGTTTATGTGGGAACTTCATTGCTATTTATTTAGGACAATATATATATACAGTACACATGAATGAAAGGACTTTTAGTAATTAACTGCTTTTATTAAAGGCAATGTTAGACACACAGTGTCTACAATGTTTCAACGCACCGGAGTGCCATCACAAGAACAAATATTGTCTTTCTGTAGCCTTCACAAAAGGCTGTTTAAAATGAACGTCCATCAGGACCGTACAAAGAGCTCAGATTCTGAGCAATATCACTGTTTGCAAGCCAAACAACATTAGAACTTGGGAAAGAACGCCTTTAGACATACTCAAGGTGAATGTCATGCTAATATAATAGCAATAAAGAAACTCTTATTAAGAGTAAAACAATCGAAACTTCAATATGAAGCGATATTTGCAATGAACATAGAAATATGGAAATGTGAAACCCATTTCCTTCCACAAACTTCACAGCGTGAAGTACCATAAAAGACATTCTTTCAAAAGAAATGAACCTAGAAATATGGAAATGTTTATCTCCTACAATATAAGAGATGGTAAAACCACCATCTAGTTTTGATGTGAAAGTCTTTGATCCTGGAGTCTCTACCAGGGTCTCCAGAGCGGTCTGTGGGCACATGGTTCCTGCTTCACCTTGGTGGGCTGATGGGAAGCTGGAGACGAGTGGATGAGGTCTTTAGCTGATCTCTGGGCTTCTTGGCAGTGGTTCAGATGTTGACGTACAGCGTCCGCCTTGGGGTTGACCGATAGGAAGCTCATGGTTTCCCTCCAACACTGAGAATAGCCGTCAAAGTGGGCTTTCTGTGGAGCCGAAGTCTTGTTCTGCAGCTGCCGTTTCAGGAAGACCACCGTCATCTCCAGGATATCGGCTTTCTCCAGTTTGGTGTTGGGGTCCTGCTGCTGGAACTCCTTCTCCAGCATGGATTTGAGCTGCTCGATGCAGCTGTTGATGCGATCTCTGCGCATCTTTTCCACTGCGGGTTTTCTTAACTGTTGAGGAAAGAGACATTTGCTTAGTTCTTTGCTTCATTTGATCAGAATAAAAGAAAAACAATCGATTTTTAAGTGGTAAATAATACTCACTTTATGTTTCTCCTTGTTGGAAAGTTTGGAGTAGTCATTCGTGTAAGATGGAGCCATTCTTTCAGATGGAGAGATGTTCCTCTGAGGAGAGCAAGTTGGTTGTGTTGGGAATGAGGGCCGTGCTCCTCTATTTATAGGAGCTCATTAGCATTACAAAGCCATGAGTCCCAGTCAGGATTAGCTTTCCCACACTCCGAGGCCAGTGGGTGAGGCGTCCTCAACAATAGAAGAGGCATCAATTATTTCATGGTTAACTGGCCTCAGGGCTCCCACAGAGGGAATAGTCTTCCACACACCGAACACAACACAGGCAGGTTGCTGTACTTTTATTACCTGGGAACATCGCTGCTCACTGATAAGGCTTCTGCAGACGGGGACTGTAGACATATGATAATTTCCCAAGGGATGCTAAGGACATATAGATAAGACGTTGCACACCTTATCGGGGAAAGACAGATACAGCTGGCTGATTGAAAAATGATCTTTTTGCACAAATTTTGTAGATTAGATTACACTTATAGTACCATACCATAAATACATGCATATTTTTATAAGAAAATATTTTTTGTGATGGCTCCAACAAACTTCTTCAATCTTCACACACTGACCGGAATGCGTTCACTGTGAATGTCAATTAAGCACAATTATCCCGTGCTCTCAAGGATGGCACACTTCTATTGTTCCAGGCCCCCCCTCCCGCCGCCCTGAGAGAATTTTGGGTAATAAATGGACAGATAGTGTGGGAAACCCAGGCTGGCTCCTGCTCACACGTTCTGGAGTCAATAGCTGGAGCCCCTCCTCTGTCCCTCCACAAACACCCTTTGAACTGCCGTTCAGATCAGAGGCGGCGGGACGCGTGTGTGTTCTCACCGGCCTCGGCTCGCATCACCTGCTCATACTCGCCCTCCCGCACACGTCCCATCATCCATGAGCATGTGCGGAAACATCTGCAGCAGAGGCGCAGCCTGACAGGGGCAGTTTGAATGTGGAATTACTAAAAAAATTAAAATAAAAAAAACTGGAACATTATTATAATAAAACCCAAACGATTTTTGGTATTAATCTTAATTTTTTGCATTGTAAAAAATAATGATAATAAAAACCATAAAAATCCGTATAGATATATTAGGGCTGTCAAATCGATTTATCACATCTAAGTTTGTTTATATATGTGTGTATATACATATATATTATATGCGTGTATTTATTTATATATATATATATATATATATATATATATATATATATATATATATACATGAAGAGTTCAGATGCAAAAGCCTCTAAGTGCCATTTGAAATTTTCTTCTAGAATGATCATTTTTATCAAGCATGTATATTTAAGTTCAGTAATTTCACTTAAATTGCAATGCGGATTACCTATTAATTGTCATTTAAGTGAAATTACTAAACTTGAATATATAAGCTTTCATTTTAGAAGAAAATTTCCAATGGCACTTGGAGGCTTTTGCATCTTAACTCTTCATATATACTTGTATGTTAAATGTGATTAATTGTAATTAAATAGATTTGACGGTACTAATTTATATATAATATAAAGTTATATAATTACATATATAAAGTAATAAACTGCAATGATTTAATTTAATAACAATATGAAATAAAAGATGTTTTTCTTTTTATAATTATTGTGAAGCAAAAGGAATAATAAAATTAAATGGAAAATATATAGTTTTATTTAATTAATGAATAAAATTAAATAAAAATTAATTTATTTTATAAATAAAATAAAATAAATTAATTTTATTTAGTTTATTTAATTAAATAAAATAAAATTTTATTTAATAAAATAAAACGTTATTACGTTACAATGATAAACGTAATAAAAATAAAATGCAATTAAAAAAGTCTGCTCTAGTTTTGTAAATAATACTAAAATAAATCGCTCTTACCACAGAGGTACTGCTGAATTTATAATAGTATCTTCAATTTCATTCTATGCTTAATGTTATATCTGATTACACTATTTTAAGGTGTCTTACTGTAATTATAAGTACTGGTTTAGGCGTTTGTAATTATGAATAATTAATAGTTATTACTAACTACACGTATGACACTGTAAAATAAAGTGTTACCCTTTTATTTTATTTTACTCATTTTGGACCAATACAAAAACATTTTCTCGACACTCAAATCATCAACAATATCAATGGACACCATGTGCCAGATGTTTTTTTTTGTTTTGTTTTTTGGAGGGAAACTTGCTGTTTTCTTCAGCGTCTCAGACTCACATTTCTCAACAGTGACTCATCCTGACAGATGACACTGATAGTTTAGAGAATGACGAGCCTTCATTCCACCATAGACCCTCTCATCATTCAGAGGAATAAAGGCCCTGGTGCCATAATAAGACACAAACAGTGTCACACACAAACAGTCGTTGTGTCCAGCTGCAGGTCTCTCGGTGAGGAATGTGTGAGAGCTGTGGTGTGTGTCTGCTTCCCACACTTCAGTCCCATTGAGCGAGCCACCCCACCCTGCCACTGATCCAGCGTGCCTCATTATTCCCTCTCTCAATAGACCATCTGGTCCTCTGCTTGCACACACAAAGCCTCTCGCTCTCCCACACACACCTCAAAGCGGCAGGTATACGCGCTCCTGAGGAGAGATTGATCTGCGCACAATCCCACGACCACAAACAAACATGGAAGCGTGTGTGCATAACACGTTTCTGCATGTCGCAGCATATCTATACATGCAAATGGACATTCACTGTAAGCCTTAGGTTGCAATTCATATGCAGAAAAACTACAGATGTTTTCGAGATGAATAGATAGAAAATGAATATGCTTTATCTAATCAAAAAATTGTGGCAACAGATTACAAGCAATATTATTAATTAAATTTAACAAATTAGAATTGAGTAATAATTAATCAAATTAATTCCTTAAAAGTTAACCATTTGAAATGAGTAAAACTTACAACAACAACAACCAAAAAAACATAAATTGAAGTCACCATTGTGGTGATCGGTGTTTGTTTTAAAATTACGGTTTTCTCCTTCCGTGATTCTGCTTGTTAACATCAGGTGTCTTCAATGTTGGCCATATAAAATAAAGAGTTCTTAATTAATCTTTGACGTCTGTTTGTTTGTTGTAAACTCAACCCGATCTCACGACCAAGTCGTACGAATTCGACGAATGATTAAAAAGTGGCTAATTTGTAACAATTCATACGACCTCACTCTTACGAATTAGTAAGATTTTGCTAAATCGTACATATTTTACGAATTCGACGAATGATTAAAAAGTGGCTAATTCGTAACAATTCATACGACCTCACTCGTACGAATTTGTACGATTTGAATAAACCCACGTGATGGTTAGGTTTAGGGGCGGGGTAAGGGCTAGGTCATTCGTGCGAATTCATACGAATTGGCCAATTCGTAAAAATATGTACAATTTAGCAAATTCGTACGAGTGAGTTCGTACGAATTACGACACTTTTTAATCATTCGCCGAATTCGTACGAATTGGGCGTGAGATAGTGTTGGTAAACTTTACTCAGTTTAAATGGTTACATTTTAAGGAATAATTTGATTAATTATTACTCAATTCTAATTTGTTAAATTGAATTAATAATATTGCTTGTAATCTGTTGCCACAATTCTATTCTATTAGATAAAGATAGATTATTTGAATATTGTCTTTCTATGCCAAAGGAGAATTCACAATTCAACAACTTCCCTGTTGTTCTCCAAATCTTTCCTTTTTGTCGTTTTGTTTTAATGACCACAAACACCCTGGCAAGACTTCAGGGGTTTCAATGGGGGCAGAAGGTATTGGACAATGTCACATTTTCCCGCTCTAACCGCATCTTTTCAAGCGTTTGTGCTGTGAATGCCAGAGCATGTGATGCTGGAATGCCTCTCACATCATGACCCGAATTCCTCTCCGGCGAGGGGAGGTCAGGGGCTTCCCAGGTCCCCGTTTTTATGAAGAGAGGGACACTTCACACTGGGCACACAGCGCTGAGCATCTGCTTCCCTCACTGTGTGTGAGTGTGTGTGTGTGAGAATGAGAAGAGTGCTGGACAAGGGGGCGCCCACATTCAAAGACCCTTTTGCAGAGTGGGATGGAATGTATTGTGGCTTTACCAGTCGTTTTTGGCGGGAGATGGGAACTGGTGTGGGAACGGAATTTGGGGTTAACTAAACCACAGCACCTCCTGATAGACAGAGAACAAGAGATGCACTTGTTCACAGATCAGAATAAAGAATATTTTGCATTTTTTCTTTTTTTAGTTGGCATTGCAACTCAAATGGAAATGGAACCAAACTCAAATTTTGCAATTAAATTTTTTTTTTTATCTGAGTAAGATTCATAACACTCCTGTTCATTGATGAATGAGTTGCTATCCGTGTGCATTATGTCAACAGATTGCATCTCCAACTAATTGGTTTAAAATAACATTATAGTTACCCAAAGCAATTTACAACTGCATGCATAAGTGAGCCAAGTGAACTGAGCATGAACCTTGCATGTGAAAAGCTGGACAAAACGGCTGTCAGCGCTGGGCTTTGCTGACCACACTTTCCCGCGCACAGGAGCCAGCTGTGCTTTTGAGCTCTTCAAAGTCTAATCCTGGAGCCCGTGTTGTCCCAACTTTCCCACAGCAGCTCTTCAATAGGGCCCAATAGAAGTGTGCCGCACTCCCCCCCGCATTAGTAATGCTCTCTCAATGAGGCGACCAGCCCCCCTGCGGATATATTGAGCAATGATTAACAATAATTCATCCTAAAGGGGCTCACTTAACTGTCCTAAAACACTTCTTGATCTTAAATAAGATGATGCAAAATAAGTAACATATGCATAACTGACATTAAAGGGATACAGTTCACCCAAAAAGGACATTTTGTCATCATTTATTTGTTCCAAACCTGTATGTGTTTCTTTCTTCTGCTAAACACAAAAGAAAATATTTTAAATAATGTTGGTAATCAGACAGTTGATGGACCCCATTGACTTCCATAGTATGGGAAAGAAATTTGCCATTTTTTGGGTGAACTGTTCCTTTAAGGCACTCACAATAGCCTATGTACATTGTCAATACAGCATAAAACATAATATACAACACACTAAAACAAATACTTACTGAATGGCTAAACATTTGGTCGTTGTTATCCTGTAAAATTATTTGAAATCTGAAAAATAAAATAATATTTAGCCAGCTTTAAAAGGCTACT